GAATTTAAAGAAAATAACAGTTTATTAAAAATCTCATGACAAGAGCTGTTGGTTGTCGCTAAAAGCCACCCCTTAGAAGGATATGATACTCCTGTGCAGTAAAAAAATGTATAATGGATATTGTCTTTGATCCATTATTGTAAAAAATGAATCACTATTAATATTTCAGAGTTCCTGCCGTATTTTAAATGGATGCAAAATGAAGGATGGTCGACTAATGACAGAAGAAACCATAAAACCTTTTTGTATATTTATAGTCACGACACATCAGCAGTGACACAGTAAAAAGCAGCAATTGACCACATCGTATGTTTGCTATGTAAATATCAACCAGAACATCCGATTGCAATGCGAGGGGAGTTTTTACAAGTCGCGAAAAGTCAAACAAACAGCCCAGTGAGTCACAATCAGGTGCTGATGTGTTTGAAAAAAACACTAGTTCTTTACCAGTTTGAAACACCTCTGCTAACCAATTTACTTGCAGAAAAATGCTTAAGAGTTGTCAGAACATCTGTGAAATAATATTGATTTCTATTTCTGAGTAATAATGTGAACTACTGAAGCACACTGACTGCCCTTAACGGACAAAAGGTTTTCTGCTGAACTAACCATCTTGATAATCTTGTAAGTATTTCATTTAAAGTGTATTCAACAAAAAGGCAAAACAAACTCAAGTTCTGGACAAGTAAGCCATTTAAAGGTGCCTACATGAACACTCAGACCTTATTATGAGCATATTTGTACAATTTCCTGACATTTCATAAACCTAGGATGCCACATAGTAACATGTAATATTTGTTGTCTCTTAGCTCTCTCACAGCATCCTGAACGGGCTCCACGAGATCAGCCGCTGCGTGGCGAGCCAGAACTACCAGCGGGGCCTGGAGGTCCACACCCAGGTGGTCAGCAGCAGCAACTTCAGCGAGATCTCCGCCTTCATGCCCATCCTCAAAGTGCTCATGACCATCGCCAACAAGCTGGGCGTCTAAACCCTGGAGGTGGGGGGGTGGCACCAACCAGACTTCAGTGTTACCATATTGTTATATATGTATGTATTTATTTCTTTATGACCTGCTTTGATAATGAGAATAATACTTACTGATGAGGTTGCAGATCGTGGTCTCCATCACTCCATACATATTCCTTCCTGAAGGCTGATTTGGGCGGCGAGGTGGATTTTTGTAGAGATTTGTCGATGTTGCTGTGGTAATTTTACGATCAAAAATGAATGTCTTCTAAAAGTTGTGATTCTGTGTAAATTCAAAAGTTGATGTAATATACAAAGTTTGAATCAAGGCGGTGTTTGTACAAGTAGTTGCATTTTCATAATCCACATTACACTACGTGCATATTTCTCATTGAATCCTTTCTGATAGGATACATGCAGTGCTCCAGGAATAAATGTGGGCTGCACTCACATCTATCCTGTCGGTGTAGTTTGTACAAGGGAGAAAACACACCGATATTCTTTTTACCGGGTCAATTAACAACAAGCATCAAGGAAACGCTGTAACTTAAATACTGATTGTTCTCTTCATCTGCTGTAACTGATTGTGTCCGGTTGATTGTGCCATGACGGGCTGTTTTTGGCCAAAGCACTGCAGCAGACTGCCATATGGTGATTGTCAAGATGCTTTTTTATCTTGTGTTTATCTCCATTTTTTTTGTCAACCAGGCCCTTTTAGCACTGTTATTTCTGATAGCTTGTGTGAAAGATTGATTCTCTATATAATTTCTTCAGTGTGCTTAGTTTACATAGCAGCTCATAAACTAGAATTACATTAATTTTTGTCGAACTGCATATGAATTGACATAGGTGCTTCACCCTCTGTTATAGATGCTTTTACTCCTCTTTTTACCCAGGCTAAGTCTTATCCTTTTGTTCGTAGTTGTTTATTAGATCATACAATGATACCAACAATGAACTAACGGTTAAAACATGATATTTTAAGGATTGTAGCTGGAAGTAAAGCTGGATAGTTTGGTGTATCATGGCAGCAGAAGGCAGTAAAGTGCCTCTGTGCTCATTTTGGTTGCACAGATATTTATACAATCCATGTTGCTTACTTTACTCATGTCGGTATCTTTTTCAAATAAAACTTCACTTCAAAGGTTTTCAGATTGATTTCTTCAAACATGATAGTATCCATTTACCAGAGGTTGAGAAAATAATGTTTTATGAATTCATCGTTAGTCAATAACAAATATAATGTTGGACATATTGACATACAAGATAATGAAAATGAAGTGAATAAACATACATTTATTTGAAAGCTTTAGTTTCTTGAGATGTTACACACAAAACAGAATGAATATACAAAAAGACTATGAACAATTGTTATGGATTAAACTGCCAAACAGTGTACTAATTATTTAAAATATGGACTTATTACATTCAAAACTAATATAACTTCTTTTGTTGTTCATTTTTGCTTTAGTGACTTTTTAATGCAAGAATCAGCATTTTAACATTTCAGTATTGTTGTTTTTGTTAATATCCTGCAATGTCCATGTTTGAACGGTAGATGGCTCTCTGTTTAATAAGCAGCAATGCATTTTTTTAATTTCCTGCTTCACCACTGCAACATGGATGGTATGCTTACTTACTAGTACTACCAACACTTAGTAGATGCTTCTGCATCCAAACCAACAGGTAAGCAACTTCAGCTGAAAATATATGTTCCCATTCTCACCAAACGCACTGAAATGAACCACAATATGCTCTTACTTCAGAGGGGTGTGTCACTACTCATTCATTTAGTTCACTGTTGAGGATTGTATATCATATGACATTCTACAAGCCAGCACAGGTGGTGCATGCGCCCTTCCCGCCATTGGCCAATGAGCATCACTCTGAGCCAGGTCCTCGCTGCTGATTGGCCGCCCATTGTCAGACGCTTTGCGCTCGCGTGAGCTTCGTGGCGTTAAATATTTTGGGGTTTTGAACGGCAGTAACCTCACCGTCATGTCCGTCTGGGGTGATATTTCAGTAATGCGACTTCCCCGCACATCACACCACTCCGCCGCGGCGCCCTGAGTCATGCTCTGCGCTTCCTTTATTGGACGCTGTGGCCTCAGGAGGCAAATAAGGCTTCAATGTGCTGAGTGTATACTTACCCTGACCTAGTAATACAGTACAGCTGTGATGCGGCCAACACTTACCCCCATTGGATGTTGACCTACTTCATTATCCAGCTACATTTAAATTAAAATCAGAAAGGTTGTTTCCAACACAAATAAAAATGTACTTGAAAGTCCTGCATTCAAAATGTTACTCAAGTAAAAGTACACAAGTATTAGCATCATAATAAACTTAAAGTACCAAAAGTAAAAGTACTCATTATGCAGATTGTTCCATTTCAGAATAATATTTATTATATGTTTTGATTATAATTATTAAGACATGAATGTGTTTATCTAAGCTGGTAAAGGTGCAGCTAGTTTTAATTTCTGTGTAACCTGCAGGGTAGCTTGTGAATTTACTCCAGGTGTAATTAAAGTGCTATTTAAGTGCTGATTATATCTTACATCATTAATCCAAATGTGTAAACTAACTAAAGGTATAACATAAATGAAGTGGAATAAAAGTACACAATTTAACTCTGAATTGTAGTGAAGTAGAAGTACAATGTAGCAACAAATTAAAATACTCAAGTAAAGTACCATAGAATTGTACTGAAGTACAGTGCTAAAATAAATGCATTTAGTTATTTTACTCCACTGGGGTCAATGCCATACATTTATATATTATACGGTTGTTTTTGTAAAAGTGGAGAGTAAGGAGTATTTTTTCCATTGTGTTGGTCCTAATGCTGAAGTTAGTCAAGTACAAAAGGATGGAGCGGATTGAAAGGAAGGCCTCTGTTATTTCCTGCCTATTATTCACCTGGGAATGTTTTGTTCCTACCACTAACTACTGAACACTTCCGGTTTGCGTCTGATGGAAGTGTGAAAGTCAAATATACCCCAACTTTTTAATACTGCAGTCCTTTTTCCTGTAGACAAATAAAGCCCTCAGCAGATGTGTGAAATGGTTTACACAGGGCAGAGAGGAATGTAGGACCAGTGTGCTGACCAGAGGCCAGTTTGTATTACATCAGACCATCTCAGCTTGTGTTTGCTTGTGTTGAGTTTGTGGAGGTTACAAAATGTCATTTTTGTTAAGCAAAGTTCACCAATGCTGAAACAATCGGTCATTTAAATAAGGAGGTGATCATTTAGGTCAATTATAAAGCAAAAAAAGCCCTACACTCTCAAAATAGAGGATTTTCTTTCTGTTATATAATTGTTACTTGATTATCTTGTTTTGCACTGCTTTGCCTCGTTTCTGACATTTTATAGATTCAACATTGAATGCATACAGCTATCATCTGCACCCTTGACACCTTGAAAAAGTAATTAGATCCATTATTTAAGTTAAGTAGTTATACAGCAATGTAAACTTATCCTGCTACAGGTACAAGTCCTAAGGAGTCACTGTCAAATTGTACTTAAAGTATTAAAAGTAAATGTATCCCCCTAAAATCCATGAGAGTGCTTAATAAATGTATTTTGTGCAATAGCATGCTGGTTAATTGGTGGATTGATATGCCACACCTTTGCTTAATAACATGGATTTGAACTAACTTTTGCACAAAATGTAAGATAAATAAGCCTGTTGTGTACTAATGTTATTTACATCTTTAATCTCAGGCTGTGTAGACTGGGAGGGAATGTGTTTATATTTTAGTTTGTTGCAGTTACATTCCAAAACAAATGCAAATGTGTTCCTGCTCTAACTTCCAAATCAATGGAGCATTGTATCACTCCAATGAACAATAGGACACACCTCTTATTATAATATATGGTTTTCTGTTTTATAAGAGCGGTTTCCAAAGTATTCTTCAAATGTTTTAAATAATCATATGAAAAAGTAGCTTTACAGGTATACTAATTCAACAATTGTTCTGCTTATTCATATCAGAAAGACAATAACGAGAAAAAAAGAAGATCAACAACTGTTAATGGAATTACGTGTATTGAAAATATCGTGAACTTTTATTTCAGAATAGAATACAGTTGAAATGTGACATTATCATTCAGACTGAAAACCTTTTGAAGCTTCTGGGCAGCAGGAGTTGTTGGCATGGCTGTGATATTGTCGGGTTTCGTTAAGTGCTCTGAAGATGCTTTAACATCCCTCATGACAGGAGCACCTCCGTTTACAGAGATGCCGCCACGGGTTGGATCGAGTTGGCACATCAGGGCCCATTTGTTGCAAGTTAAATCAAATGATTGAACATTTGCACTGGGCGTTAGAAATTGTGTCTTCTAATCTAAACCTCTATTTGCGTTTACAGCACTTTGATGTTGTCATTCTACCCTTTGCCTAACGTAAATGTGTTTTCAGAATAAAAACAACGTTCCATCGGGGGCTTCAGCCTGTAAACATGGACCTCTGTTAGATTTGTTATGAGCCTTTTTGTCTTCACTGACGGGACGTGAAGAAGATCAGGAATGGATGCAAGTCATAAGGCATTAGGTTGTTTCCTGACTCTTAGGGAAAAATTAAATAGGTGCTTAAATTTGATATATTTTTCTGCCAAATCTTGGCGTGCATAAAAACAGGTTCAAGTTAGAACATTTTGGAAACAAAATTTAGCCAATAAAAGGGGAAAATAAATAAATAAAAAAGGTAACAAAAGCATTCCGCACACCAGAATTGAAAATGAGCATTAACATCAATGCATCAGAAATGTTGCAATGACAATTAGCTTTGTAGGACATCAAAGGGAAACCAGACCCCTTCTCAGAAATCACCACGGCAACAGTTCTGATGATCCAAAAAGCGATGCAGCTCCACAGTACGTTACAAAAATAGACAAAGCTCTGCCATTACAGTCACCGATAAAACACCTTACCACAACACCTACTACAGTATATTATCATGCATGGGTGGCATGTTGTTTTGTAACACCAGAACTGTCACATGTAGACTGGCTGCTACATCGACCAATGAGATCGCTGCTGCATATGTTTCTGACCAAAATAGGGGCGTGTTGGATAAAAAGAGGAAGCAAAGCCACTGATGCCACAATTTTACAAAATTTCCACAATGATGTTGAGTGAAGAAGCAATATCGACTCAGGTGTGCTCTATTGGACCGTTGAGATTGTTATAAATAACAATTTATAACAATTGGCACTATGATATATTCATTAAAAAAAAACACAAAAAGTTGCTTAAACATAGCATGGTTCTAAGTACATTTATCGTTACGATTCAATGGCAGTTTTAATATAATGATAAATGTCTCACTTATATTGTCTTTCTCGATCCAATTACTGTACAGACTAAATACAGTAGGTTTTAATCTTTGACTTTCCACATATTTGGTTTTCTGCATCAGAAAACAAGGTTACGCACTGCAACTCACTGCATGACTCTGCTGTCAGTATAGTTATAATAAGGTCTGGGTTCCCTCACTCTTCCATCATGTGCCATATTTCATTAAAGCAAGCTGCTTTTTAGCAAATACGGTTCAAAATCTCATCCCTTTTTCTTCCAGATCTTTAAAGCACTCAAAAAGTTAGCTAACTGTATTATCAGAACGGTAAAAACTGGCTGTACACTGCAGTACAGAAAACAGCCACCAATCAGTATCTTATCGGTTGAAACATTGTAACTCCATATTTTCAGTGCTCCACGTCTTGTCTATTTTTGATTAATATTTGAGTAATACTTACATAAAAATTATTGGCTACATGACTGATCTTGAATGAAGGATGCACACCAAAGTGGCAAAAACAGCAGAGAATGAAGTTGAAAATGTATCTACTTCAAATCTAAAACATCTTTGCAAGACCTTGGTCTGACTGAACAATAGAAACCAAGGCCAAGAGCTTAGCGAAAGGTGTTTTTTTTTTTTATATCCATCTTGAACAATTTGTTAAGTTACAGCTACAAAAACCACAAAAACAAGCAAAATGTGGTCAGGGCCCTCATGACGATGACCTATTATCCTCAAAGGATGAGAAATGTATAGCTGTCAAAGGACTGTGAAGCTTCTTCTTCTTCTTCTTCTTCTTCTTCTTCTTCTTTTTTTCGGTTGTTCTGCCTTCGAAGCTGACCGTGACTCGACGATCCTAGCCACTCCGGGGGCTTCCGTCTCCGGTGCGCTGTATCCGGGATGCCACCACCTCGTGGGACACCCTCTTGCGGTCTTTGGCCAGGCCCAAGAAGCACATGGTGTCGATGAAACCAGTGGTAATGTTCCATTTGATGCCAAACTCACTGGTTGCATAGTCAAAGGGGAACGTGTGGTGGTAGTTGTGGAATCCCTCTCCTGTAAGGTAAAGGAAACAGTGGTGAATAAACAAAACTAAATAAAGCTAATACTGAATGATGTTGAAGGAGTTGTGTTGTTTTGTTAGCTAGAAGGATAACTTTAGCCCAGTCTAAGTGAATTCAGACTTCCTTTGCGCATTCTTCACATCATTCCATAATTTTTAAAAAGGGATTTTAAAGATGCCATTACTGTTAGACCAGTGACTCTGACTGACAGGTGTGTATCGGTAACAAGAGCATATATTACCTCTAAACCGCTAAATGTAGTGGTGTAATTTACAGTGACAATACATCAAAGTGTAAATTACAAACTAGTAAAGTATTATTATAAATCATGAGTCCAACCTAATTTCCTGTCTTGTTCTTGAGTTATGTTTTCTTTTGTCACACAGAGTACAGGTTCATGCGTAATACATACCTAGCGCACTGAATGCAACAAACTTGTTCTCCCTGGGGTTGATGTGGTGATCATAGGGCCTGTTTCCCCACATGTGAGCCGCGCTGTTCACCAGCCAGGTGGCATTCAGGACCAAGGTGTACCTCAGGAGAGCGGGGACGAAGTAGGCCACCCACAGAGACTCCCCCCACAGGTACCAAGGCACAAACATGGGGACGAAGAAGCACATGAGCAGCACAGAAGCCTTGTAATACCTGTTGAGAAGATTTGAGAGTGGGCGGAGAGCAGAATGAATGGAGTTGTTTATACAGCACAACATAGACATTAACCACACCAATGTTCTTCCTTTCAGACGTGAGACTGTACTTTGACTCAAAATGTCAGTTTGCTTTGAGGCCAACCTTGAGTCAATCTCAATGTGCGCGAAAGACATGTGGGTAATTAAACGAGTTAAACCAGAATAACTACAGACAGACACATGTCTGCAGCAGAGGTGGGCACATTGGAGTTGAGAGTTTAATTGTGATTTGTTTGCTCTGCATTTGATATATTTCCCAAACATAATACTGTGTGTTTTCTTTCCCCACTGCCTTCCAGATGAGTAAAGGCGACTTATTTTTGATGACAAAAATCAATAATTGACAGAAGCTACTTACTTCCTTTGAAACATTACAACTTTGTCGGCCAACAGGTCATGGACTTCCAGCTTGCGTCCCTTCTCGATGACATCAGGGTGTTTGCGGACCATCAGCCAGCCAATGTGAGAGAAGAAGAAACCCCGGACGGCGTTGTGAGGGTCAGCATCCGTCTCGGAATATTTGTGGTGAACCCTGTGGTCTCGAGCCCACTCATAGATATCATTCTGCGGGTTCAAGTAAACACAGAGATTACATACACTGTGGACAACACCTGGCACTTAGGCAGTAGTGAAAACTGCTATTATCACAATGCTAAGTGTGTGCTTGCTTGTGTTTGTGCAGATCTGTTAGATGTTGGTACCTGAAATGCCATTGAGTTCGCAACACCAAGAAAGATCTTCAGAGGTAATGAGGCCTTGTAGGATCTGTGACTCCAGAGGCGGTGAGCTCCTGCAGTAACTCCTAAAGCACTTATCACAAAACAAAGTAGGGCTGTGGGGAGAAATGCAAAAACAAATGAGTACCACTAATTGAAATACTGCACAATGTTATGTCAACGCATCATCTATTTTCTATTCAAAGCTAGTAGGATGACCCTGCAACAAGTGTTATATTGTGAGTGAGTCACCTATGTTTCATCGTTATATCATTGCAACTGCAGAGGAGATAATCCCCTTTAACAGAGAAGAAGCTGAAATAATCATACCACCCTCACTGTAAGGCATTTTCTCTTTTTAAAAAAGGCAGCATACTTGTGAATGTGTGCAAAGATGATCTTCACAATACAATACATCACATTGGTTTTCCTGAGGATCATATAAATGTGCCCTTGCCTTAACGGGTTTTTTGTAGTTGTACAAGAGCTTGGATAACCATGAAGTGAGCATGTGCCAGCGCCACTCTCTGGGGATGCAATCACATTACATCAGATGATGACTGGGTGGATAAAACCATTTGATGATTGCATGTCTCTAAGACTGGAAATCTAGTCATAAGTGCTGCCTCTGTGGTTTTGATTAATCAGAACACACGCACACAAGCGAAGCATTTGATACAATGTTTCAAGCTATAAAGCAGCATGCAGTTTGCTTGAGTACAATTTATTTGTACTTTCTGTACTTTGACTTGAGGTGAGACCGTGACACATTGTCTGGACAGTTGAGCTGACTTTTGTAAAGCAAACAGCATAAAAACATTCAGAAGTATAGTTTGCCTGACTTTGTCTATTTGAGTCTGTAGATTTGTCTTGAATTCACTTGATTTAGATGCCTCATTTGCATATTTCACAACAAATTATTTAAGAAATCAACTCAAGGCTGCTCCCGACTCTTAATTAAAGAAAACGTCATAGTTTGTCTGTCAATTAGTCTATGTTCCTGACAATTACAATCTGCAGCTTCAAAAGGCATGCTGTGACATAAAATCTCTGGTGATATATGCCTTGATCTATAATCCCACTACATGCAGGCTACTGGGAGGAGCGTGCACAGATCTATCCAGCCTGAGCCACCTTATTGAATGCACCAGCGGTGACATAACATTTGTGGGCCTGTGTACACTATGTACCCTACTAACCGGAAGGAAAAAAAAGTCACTTTCAACACTCAGCCAGCACAGAAATCATGTAACAGGTAGATTGTTTTACTCACACCAAAGCAAGGTCAAAGTAGATGCTGAGGGGACGAGGCACATGCCGTACACGGCTCCTATATGCAACAGAGTCATCATAAAGACATTTTTCCATACGATGACCGAGGGAGGTTTGGGGCCTTCTTTCTCTTTGTATGTGTGATCAAACATGTCTTCTCTGGGGGCCTCTGGAAGAACATTTCCGTTGCTCGCCTTGTGCTGCTGCTGTTTCTTCTCCAACGCCTCCGCCTCCGTCATTGTGTCTGCGTTTTGGTGTTGTTCTGAGCGGTAAACAAATAAATGGGACAAATTCGTAAATTCCGTGTTTTTGTGATGAGCCCACGGCAAGTTATGTTATTTAATCTGTCGTTCGTTAGCCCCGGTAGGCTAGCAGGCGCCGCTGGTGAGGAAGAGGATGGTCATGTAACGTTGATGCTGCTGCAGCTGCTGACTTTTCACTGGAAGACGACATTTGCTGCGTTGCGTAACACAAAAATTACACCTGTAGAACAAATAAAAGGAAGGTAAATTACTCACCAAAATAGAAGAAGAAGAAGAGTAGAAAAAGAGGGTGCGGTTGTGTTTGGGAGATGTAGCTGATAGAACTACAGTAACCCAGAAAGGGAGAGTGAACGTTAGCTCCGCAGCAAACGAATCAATAAGAGCTGGAGTTCGAGGTGCGACTGGCCAATCAGCGCTCGGATGCCGCCTCAAGCTCGGGTTCTGATTGGCTGACTGATCATCTGCTGTTCACCTTTTATTCATTCTCTTGCCAGATGTACCTCATCTGGAGAGCTGCAGCTACTGTCTAGACCTGTATTGAATTAACTGCACACATATTTCCATTCACGCGTGGATTAACGATATGGACAAGGTACCAGTGTGATACGAGCAGAATTACGAGTTGTTAAAAACAAGTTTATGTAGGCCTACACCAATCGGCAGAGGACCCCCGCCCACCCACGCTGGGAAATACGGGCTGCTTGTTCTGGCATGCCATCAACTCCCTCTCATAATGAAACACATAGGGAAACTAATAAAAACATGCAAGTTAATCAATATCAAAGCCCGTAAAAAACACCCAAATATTCGTTGAAAACAGCACGTTAGAGTAGTTCAACTCACTATATTGAGTGCCAAAAATATAATAATGTATTTAGGAATATCAGATTTAGATTAGCGAATTTGAATGTAGGAGATGGTCCAGTGGAGCAGTGGATCCATATTCTAAATGGGTTGACAAATCCATGATTTTTTATTATCATGACCTACATTAAACAGTAATGTAGAAATTCAAAGTTATCAGACAGCCTCCATCTAGTGGAGAAATCATGTGGCACAGAGTTCGAAGATAAAGTTAGAAATATCTTTGACATTCAACTTAAAAAACATTCTCAAATCACAAACGACGTGTTTTTATAGACCTTTTAATATTTAATATGATCCAAAATAAATATGCAGAAGGATTATTTTCCTACCTCGTCTGTGTAGTATAACCCAGGGTCGAATTTACCATATACATTGGGGGGAGGGGGGGGACATCCCCCCCAATATTCAGATACGCTTAGATGTCTGGGAGGAAGTTGGTGGTCTTTTGATTTTGATTGAGCGGCAAGCTAGTGCGAGTCGTCACTGTAAAACAAAAGGGCAATAAAGTGTTCCTGTTTCTACTGAAATTGCGTGGCACAGACCTTTCTATGGATTGAAATGCTTTAATATGATAGTGGTTATAGTTTTACTTTATTCATCCCTAATATCTGCAATTACAAACAATGAAACAAGAAAAGCTAAACAAAATAGGGCGATGTAATACAATGCACAATTAGACGTTATGGTAAAACACTTTAACCTGTTAAGCCCCAAGCCTGTTTTTCAGGTCTCAGGCTCGAAAATGACATTCCCAGAACAAATGACTATATCTTCACTTCTAAAAGGGGTAAATTAATCATCTTTTTTCTCAAAGCAATGATAAACCTGTGAGTTGGATGTAGAAAAAAGTCAGAATCAATATAGATGTTTTTATTTTAAAGTAAATTCAGATTGAACATAGTAAAAAAATTTAAATTATAGTTTCCATCCAAAGAAAACCCATTACTTATAGTGAAAACCACCCTTGAATGATGGGATCTGAGACTAAAAGCTTTAGGAATCCAAACTATAACATATAAGTACCCTGTATCAAGATTGATTCAAAACAAGTGAAATTTGACCTTTTCAGAGAGGTTTAGTAAAAAAACAAAACACTTTTGGGGTCATTTGGGTGTATTTGCAATATCTCTGGAACCCATCGGTCGATGAGCCGTACACATGCTGTGTTTTTTGTGTAGCTGTGTTTTTTGTGTAGCTGTGTCTTTAGTTGTAAAATTATGCGCGCGTTTCCCCGCTGCGAGGCTCCGGCGCTAACAGTTCACGAGCGTGCTCCACTAGCACCCAGATATAAGGCGCTGTTATTAAAGAGGTGGAGGGAGAGACCTTGTTTGATCTATGTAAACAAGTATTTCCAAGGAGGCACACCTTTATGATAATTATAGTTATACAAAATAAGAGAATTACAGGTATGAAATAATTCCAACTCATACTATAGGACAGTAACACAAAAATACAGTTTAAAAGGGGAGTGATCTGTAAAATATGCATAAAGAAAAATAAAATCTGTTTACAGTTCTGTTTCATATGGGTGTTGAGAGATGTGTACTCTCTTCATTTTGCTCTCAAAGTGCATCAGATTGATGCATTTAAAGGTGGGGTAGGTAATTTTGGAGAAACCAGCTCGAGTGCGCTAGAATTTGAAAATACACAGCCGGAAAAAATCTGCCACTTCCTTACAAAGCCCCTCCTCCAACACACAGGAACGCGCACATGACCAATGAGGGCACGAGATAAGTTTGTGCACAGATGGAAGGCTGACAGGCAGGTAGGCCATCCAGTTATTTTAGCCGGGCCGGCTAAATTGATTGGTCGTACTTTTTACAGCACTACGGCTTCCGCAGATTACATTTTTTAATGGATTATTTGTCAAAGCACTTAAGATATTCATTGCTATCGGGATGTTAAGAGCATTCCATGGAATATAACAAAAAGTGGATCTCAAGCCGGTTTCTCAAACTTACCTACCCCACCTTTAACTTCAACATTTACAAATGTAAATAGCATGCCCCCCCCCCGGACCTCCCTAGAGGATGTTAGGTCCACCACCTGCTGACACCCCCCGTCAAATTGTCCCACCCACATTGAGGATGCTTGCTACGCCCATGCCTGAGACACAGTTTCGTGAATATTTTTGTTTTTTCGCCCGCGGGGGCATGGGGTTTAACAGGTTCTAAAGTATCCCATGTGTTAGTGAATTTTTATATATGTTCCTTTAGAATGGCAGGGAATTAGTATTCAAATTTTGATTTAATGTTTGGTCCCCCCTAATGTTTACTCCATGGTTACGGACCTGGTATAACCAACAGTAGACCATTAATGTGTCAAGGGATTTTGTGTAGCACTCATAGCACTACACTAATGTTAGTGTATTTTTTTGCACAACAAATATTCATCAAAATCCTCCAAAAGCATATTTCTACATAAAAAGTATAGTGTAACCAGCATGAGACCATTTATGTGTGAAGTGATTTTGGGCACAACTCAGTGGTGACAACAGTGGAATAATTGAGTATTTCCACAAAATAAAAATCATAAACAAAATTCATGAATGTTATTTGGTAGTAGTAGAAGTGTATACTTGATTTTTAAGTGATTTGGTAGCACTTTACTGTAATGACTGATCTGCAGGGTAGAATAAATAATCTTTCTAATTTTACCAAACTGTTTTCTTGTTTTTATAGGCCTATTATTTGTTAAAGCCTGTAATTATGTTGTGTTATTTATCTAATGTGTCCTTGGGTTTATTAATTGTTCTTGTGGTTAATATGCCTTAATGTATAATTTTCAATCAATACAAAACATTTATATATATATATTAAAAAAGCTTAATGATCCATTTGCAGCATCCTCATGACGCCATCAGCAGGCGCCTGTATTTACTTCAGTTCCAGTTAGCTCGCTGCTGCTGCTGCTGCAATGGAGGTAAACAGGGACGAAGCGGAGCGCTGCATCGACATTGCAACTGCGGCGTTAAGCAACGAGCAGCCGGAGAAGGCGCAGAGGTTCCTGGAGAAGGCGCAGAGACTCTTCCCGACAGAGAAAGCGAAGGGTGAGTTTTAAGATGGCCGATGTAAAGGGCGCTTCAGCCGGGGAGGACCGCATCATCATCACCACCTGCAGCATCACCTGCTTCCCGGGTCTGCTGCAGCCGGGCCTTTGGTAGCTAACGAGCTAGCTGCTTTACTTTGTTATAATGTCGCAAACGCTTACTCTAGCTATTATATGTTATGGAATATTATGTACACCTACTCACCATGTAACAGATATGCTAAGTGTCATATGGTTTCAGTTGCTTTTTATTAGATACCTTAGGAAGTCTGGGATTGGTTTAAGTCAGTTTTATATTATCTCACTGTTAATGGTTAAAATATACATTATGCCATAGACCCACCCATTCCAGCAACTAAGACATACCATAATACTCACATAAAAGAAATAGCAAATATGAAACAGCACAGTGATAGGCCTGAACATGACATACATTGGGCCAAATACTCAGCCCTCAACTAAACACACAAAAATGGCATTAAATCCTTAATACATGTTAATTACCCGCAAACAACTTGGGTTATAGTCAAGTTATAGTACAGGTTTAGTATATCCCATGTACGGCTGATCAAAATTGTCAAGCAGTGTGTTTAAAAAATGTTTTGATACATGTAGGTACTGTAGGTGTATGAGAGAATTGGATATAAGTCTGAGAGATTTGGCTTATGAGTCAAATAAACTTACAGTGTACCACTGAGTTTATATGACAGCTTTTATTGAGATTTCTTCTTCTTCTTTTAATGTCTGACATATTTCCTGTGTCTATAACACCAACAGTTATACCCGATTCAATCATCACACCAATACGCATACTGTAAATTAATGTTATAAAATAGCTCCAAGGCGTTTCTTGGGGACCTTAAATGCTGCACCACCGTTAATTCTCAGGTTATGACTGTCACATAAATGTTTGTTTCTATATGTAGACATTTGGTCAAAGATAGTGTAATATTTGAGTTTTTTTATGAATATGACATGAAATATGATTGAAATCCTTTGCAATTTTAATGAGAATGTTGTCCTATTGCTTTTCAAATTGAAACGGATAATAGAGTTAAACTATTCAAACTGATTAGTGGAATGACAGAAAAATAGTCGGCATCTATTTAAATAATCCATTAATTGTTAAAGTAATATTTCATGCAAAGTCGTGGGATTTAGTTTTTTAAACCTCTTAAACATGGAGAATTCATGCTTTTCTCAATTTTATACAATTTTATATTGAATATCTTTGTGTTTGAGTTGACAAAAGAAACAAGACATCACCTTGAACTTGAGAAACTAGGATGGAGTTTTTGCATTATTTTCTGACATTTTATATACCAAAAGATTAATTTTAGAATGCAATAGGCAGATAAACTGATAATTGAAATAATCAGTAGTCGCTCCAATAGATAATAAAAACAGATATTGGTACGTTTCTAAAAGGGACCACTACTGACTGACCATATTGTATTAAGGCTCTTGCAGTATAAAACTGTTCTAGTAACCTGAAAATCAATCCAACAAACACGCCTTGTATTACAGCGTATGTTATTTGGAAAATGTTGACTTCAAGTGTTAGCCTTCAGCTGTGCCTTTTCAGCTCCCATGTTGAGTTCTTGCCTGAATATCTTTTAACATTTCCTGTTCTTGAATCCCTTCTAGTACTGCTGGAGATGATAGCAAAGAATGGCTTCACACCTAGAGGTGGTCACTCAGACTTTAATGGACAATCAGGTCCTCGACAGCGGCAGCCAAACAGTGACGATACCAGACCTGAAGCAAAGCCCTCAGAAAAATCCTACACAGCAGACCAGTTGGATTCTGTTAGGAGGTAAGACGGATAATCATGTACATCTGGTATTTATTTAAAGGTCCCATGTCATGCTTTTCCGGTTATTACCCATCCCTTTGTTTGTTATTTAGCTTTTTATGCATGTAAACGGTCTGCAAAGTCACAAACCCTCAAAGTGCACCCTGTAGCGAGTAAAACTCTAAAGCAGAAAATACCTGTCTATGCTGCCCCAGAACGCCTCGTTGGACATTTTTCTTTTTCTTCTTCCTGGGTCGTAGTAAGGGGCTAAGTGACGTAAGGGCTACGGAATTCCTCACACACACACACACACACACACACACACACACACACACACACACACACACACACACACACACACACACACACACACACACACACACACACACACACACACAGCCTTATCTTTTCTCATCCGCAGCTCCGCGGATTTGTCAGCCTGAACTCAGCCTGAGCACACACACAAACTCACAGCCAGGCTACGAGTGTGTGTGTGTGTGTGTGTGCTAAGGCTGAGTTCAGGCTGAGTTTCACGTTGTCTCGCTGTCTCGCAGACCCCACGCAGCAACCAGGAAATGACACCAGTAATCCAGCTCACACTGTCCGCTCCAGCAGCGAGCCCCGCAACGTCCCGCCAACACGGCACCCAGACCCCACGCAGCATTCTCATCTGTTTGTCATTACTGGTGTCATTTTCTGGTTGCTAACGCCATTCTAATACATAATAACTGATGTTCCGGTGTAACGGTGGACTCATCAAAACAGAGTGGGCGAGCTGACCAATCAGAGCACAGTGGGCTCATAGGGAGGGGGGGCAGGAGCTCCAGCAAGCCGTTTAGGACAGAGAGTGAATACACATACTATACAGAGATGCTGTATGAGAAACCAATGTGAGTTTGGAACATTGAACAATGTAAATCTATTCTAGTAGACCTCAACAATGGAATTATGATCAGTAGAAAGGGCCATGACATGGGACCTTTAAATACTTTATTTAAGACTTGTTTGATATATTGTTAGCATTGATGCTGCACCTTACACTGAGACTCATGTGCTCTCTACACAGGATAAAACAATGTAAAGACTTCTATCAAATTCTCGGGGTCCAGGCGGACGCTTCAGAGGACGAACTCAAAAGATCATACAGAAAACTTGCTTTGAAATTCCATCCAGACAAGAATCACGCTCCAGGTGCTACGGAGGCTTTTAAAGGTGACAAGCATGACTTTTCATTCATACGGAAAAGGTATAGTTCCACATGAAAACAATTAAATGAAATACATGTCATGCAGAAATCCTAATCAAACGCTATAAACATGGATACACAATGTGTCTTTTCACCCTGTTTTGTGATGCTCAAACAAAGGTCTTAATTCATTTCCAACAGCTATTGGGAATGCGTATGCTGTTCTGAGTAATGCAAGCAAAAGACGACAGTACGATCAATGCGGCGAAGAGAAGACAAATCCTTCAAGCAGCGGCCCAGAGAATGAAAACTTCGAGGCGGATATTTCCCCTGAGGACCTCTTCAACATGTTCTTCGGAGGAGGTTACCCCTCAAGTTAGTGCCACTGCTTTCTGCTTTTATGCCAAGCTGTAAGAATATTTGATTGTAACACTTGTCATGATGTGTTTGTTAAGTGCTACGTGTGCTGCTTTAATCTAGGCAGTGCTAGCATGTATGCTAATGGGCGGATGCGTAACCAAAGGCGAGACAGAAGGGAGCGACCGCGCGAGGTGAGTTACATTTTATCATCACAGCTCATAATGTAAAGCTATTGGTAAACAGCACGAGAAGACATTGAGTTATTAGTAGTTTCACTTTAATGCATTTACCAATATTCAACTGTCTTTCAGAGATATTCAAACCTGTGAGGTCTTGACACTGAGATGTTTTCATTGCAGGGAGGCTTCGCTCTGTTCGTGCAGGTCATGCCCATCCTCATCCTGGTTATTGTGTCCGCCCTCAGTCAGATCATGGTCAACAGCCCCCCCTACAGCCTCAGCTACAGGCCGTGAGTGTGATCCTTTTATCTGAAGGCCTGCCAAATTAGGATGTTAAATAACAAAGAATCTATTGATTTAGAACAAATATCATCAAGTGGATTTCATACTTGTTATATGTTATTGCTCTGTTTGCACAAGCCAGATAGCAAAGAATGATGTCACTGAAAAAGTACTTCCATGGCATTTGCTGGTGTTTTGCTTCCAAGCAGATCCATTATATCGACTTTTCAGTTTCTTATTTTTCCAAATAATCCCAGTCTTCTTCTGCTTTTGAAAGGTTTGCCGGCTCCATTTGTCCAGCCTCCCTCCATGTTGTCTGCCTTTTGTGTTTTCGATGCACTTCTGTGAGCCATTATCAGCCATGACTCATGTTAACAACAACAGACCATGCCATGTCATGTTTGCGTGCTGAGTTGGGTCGTCTAATCTGTTCCACACTTTGTGCTGTCTTCACGCAGGTCTGCAGGCTACACACAGAAGAGGCTGACGATGAGCCTGAAGGTGCCATATTATGTGGGGGAGCATTTCTCCAGGGAGATCACTGGACTGAATCTGAAGAACTTGGAGCGGACGGTGGAGGATGATTTTATTTCCAACCTTCGCAACAATTGCTGGAAGGAGAAGCAACAGAGTATGTTTGCCAATAAAAACAAATTATTTCTTTATTTAGGAATGCATTTCGATTGTTGTTTCTGCCATAATCAGTTCTGGGAAAATGATTAAAGACATATTACCCCTCATTAATTGTTTTTGTTGTTTCCTGCAGAGGAAGGAATGCTTTACAGAGCTCGCTATTTTGGAGACAACGATCTGTACCAAAGAGCACAGAGGGCTCGCACACCGAGCTGCGCCAAGCTGTCAGAGATCACAGCTTCATTACATGGTTGATGCTGCTATAATCATCAACAGTAAGCTCTTTCACATTTTCTCTCCTTAATTAACACAATTTGTGACGACTGCCTGCATGTTTTGTTTGATTAGTAAATTGTTATTCTTTTCCTTCTCTACTGTAGGTTTCCAGAATTAACACATAAGTTGATTGGCTGTAAATAGAGGCTTTCTGGAGACTGATGATGTCTCGACAAGCAACAAAAACCAGCACCAATCTGCATCGAATCCCCCCACACAAACTGGTTTGAACTGCCATGTGTGTGGATTTTAGTCTGTGAATCTAAAAGATATTATAAATATAATGTTTTGAAATGGAACAAATAACTTAAAATAGCTTGTCATCCTGACAAGAATGAGGTTTGGGAAACATCCAAGCCCCCGTTATGAGCCATGAAGTTAGCAGAGGTCACTTTATTGTTTATGCAAGAATGCAGTATGAAGCCAGAGCATAGTGAGGTTACATATAGTCGTGCAGTAGGGATGTTATTTATGTAACAGTTTATTAGATACCACTTCCTCTTTTATTTTACAGAGCAGGGACGAAGGAGGGTTTATTGTTTTGTCTTAAAATGCAATTTCTGAAACTATGCAGGAATAATGTGAAACCTCTGATGAATATACACTCATGTCCAAGCTTTTTCAGACACTTTAACACCTCAGATTTGTCATCTTTGTCTATGTGTGTGTGCGTGTGTGTGTTAGTGTGTGTGCGAGAGATAACAAGGAAATGTCCCTTTTTATGTTTTGCCTATTTAACTGTCATATGGGTAAAATGTCATGCTTCAACTTAATGGCACTTCACAATAAAAGCCAAGGGAATGAGAGATGTGCCTACCCACAGAGTGGGACTTTGACAGGTTTTAAGTATTATGTCTCTTGATGAACATCAACTGTGGAAAAAAGCAATTTTTATCACACCTTTTGTTTATATTATGCTATTTATGCTTTGTATTATTTATTAGACTAAGAAAATAATGCAAATCTTGCTCACTTTTCCACAATGTTTTTACTCCCAGATGAAAATAAATATGAATGCTTAAAACGTGTTGGAAGTCATGCATCGCTCTGAGCAGAATAAACACAAAGACAAAAGGTCAGTCAGCACATTCAGCTCGTAAATTCTGCGGGGCCGCTGACTAGGGGCCTTTCTCATTTCTCTCATTTCTATTCCTCTAATCCTCGGTCCTCCGGTAGTGACCCAGAAATGGATTTCAGCGTGCCATGTTGAAGGACATCTAATTTCTCTAAATGCACTTCGAGGATCGAGGGCCCTGGGAACGGGAAACATGGCTCTGTGTACATAAAACATTTTGGGGGACGTGTAACGAGAGAAGCGCAGGAAATACAGAGTCAGATTCTATCACCGCAGAGCAGATGTACTCAGCTGTTACTGGTAGATGTTGCTCCTCTGCTTTTTATTTTTGGCTTGCCAGAAATGTAACTTTATCAAGAAACATACACCATTATCCCTCACTTAAACTCAGGGCCGTCCCTCCCTACAGGTAGATCACGCAGACTGCTGGGGCCTCATCTTGCGGAGGGAGCTTCAAAATGCGGCAATTAGTGTGGCGCGGCACGGTTTAGCACCCCCCCCCCCGCGCGTCGACGCTCGCGAAACAGAGGGCCTCATCATTTAACTGTGTGGGGCCTCAAGTTGGCCAGGGACGGCCCTGCTTAAACTGATATCTTAGTATTCTGGTATAGTTTGCCAACTGAAAGTCATTTCTGCATTATATAAAACCAATGTTCCATAGTAGCCTGAATCTGGATCTAAAATTGCTAATGGAAGCCCTTTAAATTGTTAGTTTAGGCCTTGTAACTAGTTCACCAGCACTTGGTATGACTTGCTTGAAGTTAATAGATCTGCACATTCCTTGTTGTTCGGAGTTTGAACATCTATGGTTTTTGCACTTATTGTAAGTTGAGTGTGATCCTTTTATCTGAAGGCCTGCCAAAAAAGGACTGTTGTTCTGCAAAACAATATTGTTTTAGAACAAATATTATCAAGTGGATTTCATACTTATTATATGTTATTGCTCTTTTTGCACAAGCCAGATAGCAAAGATTGATGTCGTCACTGTAAAAGTAGACATACATACAGTGGGGGAAAAAAATATTTAGTCAGCCACCAATTGTGCAAGTTCTCCCACTTAAAAAGATGAGAGAGGCCTGTAATTTTCATCCTAGGTATACCTCAACTATGAGAGACAAAATGAGAAAAAAAAGCTAATTTCAGTGAAAATCCCCTTTGCGGCCGGACAGGTAAAGCAATATTGTTGACTATCCGTTTACCTGTTCGCCACCCTTTGCTCGGGCTCGGCGACGAGGTGACGAGGGTCCGACACACCGTAACACAGCCCCCGGAACACTTCTTTATTTAGGTAGGTACAATTGTGGCGCGTTGTTCGCCGGTGCTAATTTTCAGTGAAATCCCCGCTCTCTGTTTTTCGCTCGCGACCGAGACGCGCCATCTTCGGTAAAGTTCCCAGGGACCTCAACCGACGAGGATACGGTAAAGCGCGGTATATTAGATGGGTCGCGTGAGTCCTAGTTCTATCCTTTTTTATCGAAACTTTCTCGCTCCTCCTCGGCTCAACTTTCGGGGCACACCCGGAGCGCTGTCGGGGTTTTTGTAGTGACGAGATCTCCTCTAGACGTACCTCCTTACCCGGTTTTATGGTTCGGTTGTCACCACCACTTTTGGAACAACTTTGGAATGACTTTTGCAACTGGAACAGTAACGGTTGTTTCCCTTATATTGTTCATAAACTCTAATTGAAAACAATAACTTAGTTTATGAATAAAGTGTAGTAAAGTTTTTTAAGAAATTTTAGACTGTTACACACNTTCTCCTCCAAACACGTCTAGTTGAGTTTTTACCAAAAAGTTATATTTTGTTAGATGATCCAGAAGAAGATTGGGAGAATGTTATATGGTCAGATGAAACCAAAATATAACTTTTTGGTAAAAACTCAACTAGACGTGTTTGGAGGAGAAAGAATGCTGATTTTCTGAATTTTTTTTTTCTCATTTTGTCTCTCATAGTTGAGGTATACCTAGGATGAAAATTACAGGCCTCTCTCATCTTTTTAAGTGGGAGAACTTGCACAATTGGTGGCTGACTAAATACTTTTTTGCCCCACTGTATATGAAGCTTTTTGGGTAGCATGTTAAACCTGTCAGTGCCAACCCTACTACAGCTACATTGTATTCTGTGGGACAGCAGATTCATATTTATTAAATGACCCATGGATTTTAAACTAAGTCACTTTATCTGTCAAATAAATGTAGTTTGACAAAAAGTACACTGTTTCCCTCTTATAATAGTACATGAGTAAATATAATGTCTACTGTCAGAACCATTACAGAATAATTGTATGTTAGGCGCTTTTTGCATTTCATAAGACGGGGTTCAATTTAAGACAGAGGACTTTTAAAGCCTGTTTGAATGTTTTGTTTAGGTTTCGTTTTCTTATTCAAGTCCACATTCAAGCCACAAATAAGGTATATTTTCATTGATATTATCGATCAGTCTTTATTCTATCAACTAATCATTTGAGCATTAAACAAGAAAGTCAGAAACACCATGCAACTCCTTTTGCGTAAAAGATTTCAGACACTTTTATTATTGTACAAGTGAGACCAGCATAATGAAAGTGATAATACCCATGAACATGAAAGACCATTTTTCTTACTGTATTTACAGAGAAGTGTCTTCACATCACACACACAAAATCCTTCTACGAAAATGAACAATTTGTAAATAACATAACAATTAAATAAACTCCACCTACCTTTAGGTTTACAGCTGAATATGCATATGATGACCATCTCTGCACTGCATAGAATTTATACATATACTTTTCGTCATGAACAACGTGGGTTTCCCTAATAATAATAATTCATAATAATAATAATAATAATAATACTGCTCTCATGATGCATATAGGCGGCCTGTAAATAAACACTAACAAGAACTAAGTCTTTGGCAAATGCAAATACATTCACTTGACAGATGAGGAAACCATCATTCCAGCGTGATTTAAAGAAGTAACTCGGCCTGAAACATGAAGTTAGGAGGGAACATGTTTAAGGCATTTAGCTGAAATCGTCGCCCTGCTTTTTGACGTTATTAGAGTCGTCAGAATGAATGCTTGGGAAATCAAACTTGACAAATGACACTGGTGTGACTTGGGATGGCTGTTATATCCTTTTTCTGTGGTTGAATGCCAAAGACTTAATCAACTTAAATAGAAATGTAAGCGGTGAGAACATAGTAGTGCACGTCAAGGCAGTGACATGATGGGCCTTGAATTACAGGAAAACGTGGGAAGTGCCTTTTCAGACTGAGACTTATTAGACTTACAGCCAATTTCATGAAATAGAGCAAATATGCATCGTCATTTTTCTGCATAATAACGCTCCAGTGTTGCAAACCACCAACATAGTGCAAAATTAACAAAAAACACAAATGTTTTGCCTGATGACATTTTGTATCCTGACAAATAAGAAATAGGAAAACACTAGCCAAGCAGTCCGCAGTTTAGTCGTTTACGAATTATAAAAATGAAATAAAAAAATCATTTTAAGAATATATTTACTAGTTTCTTGAAATCTTGCAAATAGCGGGCCATGGTGATATATTGTCATGGCTCCCTCTATTTTCAAATGGATGTTTCTTTATTTACTTCATTTTCATTTTTACATCTTGATTGTGTATCACAGAGAACATGTCCTAATCTTCTCATGGCATCAAAAAGGATCGATTTACTCATGCTGGATGTTTGGTCGGTGACTGCTTAGATGGATCAAAACAACGTTAGCCTGCCACAGCCTGCGTGTGCTGCTGCTGATCTCCTCTGATCTCATTGCGCTGCCATCTGAATCGGAGTGGGAGACGAATGGTAACAGGAAAGAAAAAGGCTGCTGCTACATATTAAGCTCTGGACAGCGTCCCTGCTGAGAGCCGTCAAGAAAAGGAATGTTCAGTATTGATCCGTGATGGGATGAACCTGTGCCACAGGGAAACAAAACCAGAGACCTTTGTTTTTAGTCTTTTTTTTCGTCTTTTTTTTCCTGCAATTAGCCACAGTTTTCAGCATGTGTGTCGGGTGATTTTATTTTAGTGTCTCTGATGATCTTCTTGTAGGTATTTTTTTGGCTTTAAGTGTCCAAAAAAAGCTGCGAGGAGAGAAGTCGTCTGGAATCCCCCCCCCCCCAAAAAATTTAGTTTCTCATCGTGAGCCGGGAAGATTTTATGCGCAGTTGCTCAGTGTCCAGTGGACCATGCTTCCACCATGGGTCCTGCAGGTTGATTTGGTTCCCATGGGAACTAGTGACGGTCATAGGCAGTGGCAGCAGTGGGAGGGGCGGAGCCTCTGGATGCGGCACTATAATAATAAGGGGAACCTGAAATGAACAGAAGAACAAACCATTTGTAACAACAACAAAACATATATTCACCAAATGCATTAACAGTATTGGTATTTTCATTGTAAATAAGCTGCATTTTTACATATTTTCCATGCTAGAAAACTCAAAATTGTTGTAGTTATTTGACAGTTTGATAAGTCTCGCTCCTTTACTTCGTTACTTTTGCTATTCCTAAGCTTTACCGTCTTAGAGCGGTTTACAATGACAATGAGGCCCATTTATCACTTCAACATTTCATTTGTGTAATAATTAGTCTTTAATTTAGAGTCAAACTAAAGCAGGTTTTTCCAATTTCTAGCCAACGCCCCTCAGTTTTAAAGCCTGAAATGACAACTTTTCCTGGCAATTTTGATTAGCTGCTAGCTAGTTGCCAATGATGCTAGCCTCATGATGCCTGATAACTGGACAGCTTGTAATGTTTGTACTTGTTTGTACTTTGTACTTGTACTTGTTTAAGGATGAGAATATTATAGGAGTGAATATAATTATGCACTTTAGAGCTACATGATATACAGAATGTTTTAACTTTCATCAGTGCAAGAGAAAATGGACATTGCCAAAATCTAATGAAGAGTTACAGAGCGTTAGGACTACCCTTACACAGCTGCTTTATTTATTAAGCTTGTTAGCAGGGCATGCTAACAGGCTGCTCAGGCCAGATCAGTTAATGGTTTTTAATGCATTCCTTAGACGGTGCTAAGTTGCTAGCCAGCAATTGGACAATTGCTCTTTGGGGGAGGGGTCAATTAGTCCAGTAACTCTTTCTCTACTCACTTAGTAATGCTGGGTTACTGAATCGCCAGGCGTCATTGTAGGATGTGTACTGTGGGTGACTGTAGGGGTTCCCCGAAAACTCACTCCCTGCAAAACAAAACAACAAATCAATTAGCATTTCATTGCATCAAACCATTACCCCGTTCACTTGCAGTCATTTCTCGTCATTCAAAACAGGATGCAATTTGAGGGGCAAAATGATAGTCATCGATGTGCAACCAGTCAAGCAAGTAATTTATTTCTTTTTCATTTCACTTAAGTTATGCAACACTGAACAATACAGGATGTGACACTGACGGCGGCTTTCCTTGTCCCATTTATGGATATCTACCCATTCTTCTTCCTCCACTATATTCCAAACCCGTCTAATAAATACAGAGTGGTAATAAACAGTTTCATGCATACGTTTTTGATATGCTGCAATAAATCCTGCAGCCTTTCTTAAAGGGATTTTTTACATCTCCAATCCGAACCCCTCTGGTCTGAGCTGTGGTGTTTGGTAGAATTTCATTGCAGAGGAAACTAACTTGGAGCATGTCAGTGAGCGCTGCTGGTTCAACACGTTTCTTTCTTTTACGAGATAATAAAGGCTAGATTTGATATTAAGCTGGTGAGAAATGGCTTTGCTTTAACAGTGTTTTGCGCCTGTCACTAAATCTTAGTAGTCGTGTATAGGATGAATGGGTTGTAACACAAAACCACAAGCCATAGGATTAAGGCCCTCATATTCTGCTTTGTGCTACATAGGAACAAATGGAAAGTTAAAGTATGTTTGACTTGACGCGTTTCCACCAACTGATTTAACAGTTTTATGAGTCAACATCCCAAAGCAAATCCAGACAGCCACCGGGTGCTACCACATCCTCCATTGTTGTTCCTGGTTAGTGTTAAATTGACAGAAATGGTTGAGTCTCTATATTTTCAAAGTAGCTTTTCATAACATGGGCAGAAAGAAGAACTTGAACACTAAGAGTCCCCACCATTTATTTTGACTTTAATTAATGAAAAAATATATTAACAATGTTTAGAAAATGGGAATAAAAAAACATTTGTACAAATCTAACTGTTTTTAACTAAATGTACCTTTGTTTTATTGAAGAAGCAGAAAAATGTGATATCCTGAAAAATATCAGTATCTATATGAAGTATAAAGATGTATGTATGTATCTTTGTAATTTTTTATTTCTTAAGGATGATCTGCTACCAGTGGACCAAAACAAATGGCGCAGTTAATGTAACCCCCTTGGCTGAGGAGATAACAAAACTCGTCATCGCAGCCCTTCATGAAGGAAAAGGAGTAACAGCCAGAGCCAGTGATGGGCTGTGTGATTGGTAAATGATATGCAAACACCGGACACACTCCACTGGTTTCCCTCATCCTAGTGGTTTAATCACATCAAAGCAAAATGCCGGCTGTGGTTTGGTGAAAATGTGTGCTTGGTGACGCTGGAGCTGAAGAAGCCCAGCACCAAATCTGAATCCCTGGCAGTGAAACACAAGCCTGACCTCCTCCGAGAGACAGAGATTTGAATATTTACCAGGCTCACATGCCTCTGCCTTTTGACCCTTAACTGTTTGCTGTGAAACTGAACTGCAGGTTAAGTAGAGGAGAGGAAGAGGATGTGCTCCGGGAGCGCAGATGCTGGGGAGGTCTGGTATTGCGTTTTATCGACGACCGGTACAAACGGGAAGATAATGAGCCAATAAGAAAGAGAAAAAGCAGGAAGGAAGGGAGAACCACTGTCCTCTCCTCGGTCTCTGATCACTTATTCAGCCCGTCTTATCCAATCATACACACAGAGCTAATATAAGGATGTGTGCACCTCTTGTTCTGCAGGTCAATTTATATCGCCTCTCTGCGTAATCTGACGCTAAACTCTGCTTCTCAAGCTTCTACACCTGTTCATTTGGAGGGGCAACTGTTAAATAGCCCCTCTAATGACAATATTAATCCATGTGATGTTGTCTCTCACTTACCAGGAACCATTCCGGCGAGCGTGGAGGTCGGATAGCTGCCCTGGCCCGTGGGCGGAACGTGGGGGGGGTACCCAGGTAGGGTTGTGTTGGACATATCTCGACCTGGAGAGACAAAGAGAAACAAAAACAAAACAAAAACCACTTCATCAGTGCTTTCAATATGTGACTAGAAGCATTTAAATACTTTGGCTCAAGTATTGTAATGGGAAAGGTCAATACAGCATTGAAAAGATAAGGCCTGCATTATTATAACTGCTGTGAATATCCCAAATTCTCAGCATGCAGATTGGTCCCTTTCAGATTTGAGATATATTATTTTGCAGAGATGGACCTATAACTACACATATGTAGCTACTTCTATACACATTTGTTATATTTGATTGATATTATTAATATCATATTCATCCTGATTCAGTAAAGTAAATATAGTTTTGTAATAGCTGCCAAATAAAAGCTGCCTCTGAAATGTCGTGGAGAGGTACCTCCAAACTTCCACTACTTGAATACAGTACTTGAGTAAATGTGCTTAGTTACTGTCTAGCTCTGCAATTAGTGTTTGATTTCAAAATGCAAACCAGCTCCTGCTGTTTTAAAACCAGGAAATGATGATATTACTATACACATCATGACTCATCACCACCACCTCAAGTCAGTCAGCACAAGAACATTATTTTCCCTCCATTTTAAGAGATGGTTTCAAAGAACCTAGTTTTGTCCAAACCGTTACTGAACACCAGAAAGCATCAGTCCGCCCCTCTAACTTTAAAACAGGACAACAACAACAACAACAGCTGCTGCTTTGAGTCCGCTGAATACTGGTCACATAAACATCCCTCCTCATTACTCCGTTCAAGCTTTTTTTCTAAATATGGCGGCCTCTCTTTCTCTGTACAGTGGGAGCACACTGGCCCCTCTGCGGAGCGGGACCTGTCCGGCTGCAGATATTCAGCTATGTAATTGAGAGTGACGGTTGAGCTGTCCTCGCTGGCCACGGGGACGTTGGGACAAAACGACACGTAACCCAAATCTGCACAGGGGCCGGGGTAGAAGAGGCCCCTGTTATATTGTCAGCTGTGAGGGCCACTTGGACTCGAGGGGAAAATAATCTCCCAATGGAGCTTTAATGAGGGACTAGTGGAAGAAAACTGTCCATGTTGTTGCATTAACTAACAAACTGTTTAAGGAACATTTTTTTATCACAATATTAACAAATGTCTCTTGTTCTTCATGACAAGTATGTCACTGAGTCACGGTCTAAGGGAGTTTTTTTTTCCATTTAGCAAAGATTTTGCTTCTATATTTATAATAAATCATACCTGTATTAATATGAATACATTGTATGACAGTTGCTTAACTCTATTTATGTTGTTTGTATTTATTGTTTTAACAGTATTTTTCGGCTCCCCTCTTGACCAATCATCTCTTAAAATCCACATTTTGATCCATTTGGATCCACAAGTTATACAACATATAGAACTCTCTTGCAAAAAATAATATTTATCTCTCTGAATATGGAAAACTAGCCCTTGCTGCTAATCAACATCACTAATGAGAGCATAAACCACAGGCTAATATAGATATTGACTGAAAAATCCAATTCATACATGTGCAATATCATGAGAAACGTATCTGTTTAATTGAGGGTGAGCGAATGGGCCCTCTGGGTATTTAAGTACCTGCTACTACAGGCTGCCAGGCATACTGGCTGCAGTTGGGGCCTGAGGGGGGGGAGGGGGGCTGGGGCTATGGGGACGGCTGGTGAATCTGGTGAAGAGGCAGGGTGGCAGCCTGGAGGTGCACTAGACCCAGGCCTGGGGGAGGGGGAGGGGGTAGGAAGAGGTAAAGGAGCCAAAAGAAGCCTTGTATGGCTTTCACTGATTTTGTTTGGTAAAAACATTCACCAACACAATATTAAATAACAACAACATGACTTGCTTTCAAGGCTGTCATTTAAGTAGTTATTTTAGTAATAGTATTTTGTTTATTTTAGATTATCCCATTGATGGCAATGAAGTGCATTTATTAAAGTACAGTTAGGTACTTTAATTTACTACTTCAACTGTGTCACATTTATACAATATTTACTCCATTTAATCTTTTCAACATCTGCTGGCATATTTAAATGTTGTGTACAAAATAATTATAAGATTTGCTATAATATGACATACTGTTTAAACTACTAAACGATATTCGAAGCATTAAAATGAGCTCCTCCCTGACACGCTACTTCATAAAAAAGCTGCTTGAATCTTAAAGCACATACCATAAAAATGCAATAATTTACTATATACTGTGTATAATATTATGCTCTCTTAAATGGGTCATTCTGCATAATGGGTGTCCCTGAAACTCAACTACGTTTTGCTCATAAAACTTCAGCAGATCTGTAGACATATATTTTAATTCTGGGTGTGTAATGATGTTTTTTCAATTCATTGCAGTAATTACTTAAGTAAATGATCTGAATAGTACTTCCATTACTGAAAATACTACACCGAAACTATCTTTTAGTCCTGATCTAAGATTTGTTATTGGATGCTTACTTAAAACAAGTGCCATTTGTGATCATGGATTGTACAATAAAGAAAGCGCTCGGTGTGTTCTCTATTATTTTCAAATCTCAGCACTGATGGCTGTTTTGTATGAAGCCTGCTGAGATGTGACTTTTGGTTAAAGCACCGAGACTGGAGGGCTGCGGAGTTAAAGAGCTTTACAGAGAAGAGTGAGGTCATGCCGGACATTTCATTTATAATAAGAATTAGTTAGCCACAAGCCAGTGCACATAAGTCAAAGGGAGCCGTGGGAGTACTGTAGGTGGGGGGTCCAGCGGGGGTGAGGCCATTGTGTGTGTGTGTGTGTGTGTGTGTGTGTAGACATTGGTAACTATTGTCTAACTGTCTCAGCAAACACTGACCCAATCTTTTCTTCATTATGTTTAATAAAAGTAAATACGCTTATCTCTTTATTACCTTTCTTCAAAGAGATGAAATACATTATGAGCACCAGATCCCTGCCTTTCAGTCTTAAAGGGAACATCTGGTTTGATCGCTTTCAAATATGACTGAAATGCAATAAATGCTGTTTTTACCAACAAAAATAAATCATTTTCGATAGGGAACCAATCTCCCGTTTTCCTCTTCATATACTGATTCCGATTGGCTGACACTGATACCATTGCTACATTTATTTCCCTGGTGGAACTGAACAATGTTGAGCTTGTAACCACAAATAACTTTTTAATTTTCAAAGGGAGACTATCATATGCCTAGTTCCATTTATTTTTGTGCCGATTTTAATGGTATGTTTTGCAAGTTTTAGACAAATTCATAATAAAGGTGAAGGGCTAGGGAACTATATGGGTCAGTGACTTCTATCAGATCAATAGAATCAATTCTTTCAGACTTCAATATTAATTCTAACTCTAAATGGTAACAACAAAACAAAGTGGTTTTCTGTTTCATTTTTGGTAGTAGTGAAAATCTCCATGTATTTTGATTAACGTAGGAGCCCTTTAATGTGCAAATATACCAAAGCAAAAGATTGAACATGTGGAAAATGTTTTCTTGAAGGTTAGTTTTGCCCAATAGAAAATGAGACTATTGCCATTAACTTCAGTCGATTTTTCTCCTGTTGACTGCGATAATAATAATAATGATCAGCGTCCCTGTTGAATGCAGTTTTGTTGTATTCCAGGATAGCGTTGGCAGTGACTGCCAGCAGCTCTGTGCCTGTTGCTTTATGTCCCCTTTAAAGCCCTCTTTCTGTGAGGCGCCAGTTCTGAGAACTCTCTGTACAGCAATGATAGCCTCATTAGCTGCTTCCTAGCCTTTGTTGTTTTTACAACAGAGATGTGTGTCCAGATTCTCATTAAAAGATGGGCTTCTTTATATTGTCTGCTTCCTGTCAGTCCCCTTAGATTGAACGCCAGCAAATCAAGCTATTTATTTGGCTGTGCCCTCTTTTTCTTTCCCTGCGAGAATCAATTCAAAGAGTTTTTTGGTTTGCTGTTACAAAACCCTGTTGATTCCTGTCTTCATTTGAGAAGTGACTCGTAATAGCTGCTGCTGGGCGCTGAAAAACAGTAATTCCTGCTTTTAGTGAGCCAGGAAATATAACATTTTTAAGATTGTTTGAATGCTTTTTGAAAATAACTACTGGCTATATTTATTTATTTCAACTACACTGAGTGGCTGAAAGCATCAAACTGTTCAAACTATTTAGTCAACACTTGAATATACTGCGATAAGATTGATGAGTTTGATCTCAGCTCACAGTAACGTGACAAGAAACTACGATGTGCTTTTTTGCATTGCTGTCATCCCCGTTTCTTAAAACACAAAACGAAAAGCAAGACGACCTTCTTTTTATTTGGCACAGAAACAAAGTCATTTGTGAATGACTCTTTTGCTTGCAAGAGTATTACATTTAGCATGACAGGGACACCTTCATGTTTTGCTACAACAACAACCAAAAATCTTTGACCTCCAGTTTTCTAGGCTATATGCAGAACGGAGCAATTTATCACAAGCCAAAAAATCTCAGCACCCTAATTAATTACAACTAAGTAAAGAATGTTTGGAGAGCCAAATTGCTTTAATTCCCCGAACACCGGCTGAAAGTCATTCATTATCAAATGTGTGCTCAAAGGTTAGTTTGCTTTTGTGAAGACGAAATAAGCATTAATTTAGTTCCCCCCTGTGGGAAGACGGGCGAGCGCTTTGTCACGAGGCCACGCGTCACTTACGGCAGGTTCGCCTTCTGATCTTTGCTCGCTGCTCACTGGACAACCGCAGGTCCTGGTACTTCCTGTGTAGAGCACCCTGAGAGCACTCACTCACCCTAATTGAATGCTAAGTGTGGATGGTTTTATTTGCTGGGTGAAGTTTTGTTTAGAGACCTGACAGGAGTGCACAGGAGCAGCTGCTTGAGGAGGGGAAGTGTCATTGACACGGGGGTCTTTAAGCCTTTGGAGGCCTTCATTAACAGGCCCAGCAGGGAATATGTTTAAAGAGTCTTGAGAATGCAGTCACTGAGTGGAGATGTGTAAAACTCCCACTGAGTGCTCTAGGGACTCCGCTCAGTGCTCGGAGATGGCTCTTCAG